GTTGGCCTCCCGCAGCCCGCTTCGGGGCGAAGTTGCAGCCCCCCCCCTCCGGTTTTATTTTTCTTGTCTGGAGGCCTGCTGCCAGAGGCCCTCTCTTCAACTCTAGGCCTCAGGCGTTTATTTGACTGATTGGCCTGTACTGAGATACAGTTCTCCCTGTTACGGTTACTGTTTCTATAGATTTCAAAAAAAAAAAACACCAAGAGTTCAATTCCTGACAGAGGGTTTTAATCCCATTGAAAAATCTGTGGCTACAATGCATATTATCCTTGATTTGCAGCAGCTTGTTTAGTGACTGTTCAAAGTTACAATGACATTGAAAAATAATAATAATAATAATAATAATAATAATAATAATAATAATAATAATAATAATAATAATAATAATAATAATAATAATATATATGATATTTTTAAAACCAGGGGCTGTTTAGCTCCTGAAGCTAATGTATTGCATATTGTCACCTAATGTGAAATACAAATACAAAAAAAAAAAAAAAAATTCTTTTTGTACACCAATATTTCTCATAGATATATAGAGGTATACGTAGAACCTGTATATTCACCTGGTATAAAACATAAAAATAAATAAAGGGAGAAGAAAAATTACAAATTAGAGTATATATATTTCTGTTATCTCCGTACATAACAAATTCCAAAAGGGGGAGCGGGCCAGCTTCATCGTCACCCGGCCTCATCCAGGCCTGATCTGGGCGAGCCAACCGCCCTTGCTAGTATTTATTATCTAACATGGCAGACGACAATCCCTCTAAACGTCCTTCCTTGAAGGCTAAGGCAAAGTCCCACTACTTGCGCAGGCAGGACAAGGAACCTAAGGGCTCTAGACAGGACAAGGAACCTTCCAAGGCCTCCCAACGTGACGCCTCAAGGCGCCACAAAGCGTTGGAAAAAGAGTCTGACAGGCGTTCAGGGAGTCCCGCCCGGAGCCGTCATTACTTCCTCCTCCAACCACTTTTACACCCACTGCTGCTGGTCTGCGCCAGGACGAACCCTCTACCTCCGAGGTTCCGCCTCACATCAGGGCTTGGATGGAATCAGCCATCCGCCAGAGCATTGCAGAGGGACTACAACACATGACCAGATCAGTCTTCTCTCCATGAGCCTCCGAGCACGACTCTTTATCCATCAGATCCCTTCCACAACCGGTCCCCCCGGTTGATCAGGTACTCTCTCAGAGGGACAGCCCTCCTCCGGTTGGGGCCCAGGTGGAGGAGGAAGGGGACTTTGGGGATTTCAGGGAAGAGGAAGAGGACTCCCAGATGGGATCCTCCCGCTACAGTGAAACCCTCTTAGAGGCTGACATCATGAAGGGGGAGATGTCGGAGGACGAGGGCACTTCCCCCGACCAACCCACTTTTGGGGGGCTGTTCAAGCCGCACATGTTCAAGTCCCTCCTCCTTAAGGCCAAGTATGTCTCTGGCCTTCTTCCCCAGTCCCCTGCAAACCTTCCCCCCCGTCCCAGAGGGCCCGGAGGACTCCATTTTCACCCAACCAGTGGTGGAAGCTGAGGTCATCCCTTCCCCTTCCATCTTCGTGGATCCGGTAGCGAAGCAACTCACCTCCACAGGGACCCCTCCTACACCCTCTAGCCAAGACAAGAGATTCCTTAATCTCGATTCGGCACTATCTAGCCTTCTGAACATTCCGGAACTTGATGACCCCATTGTGGGTCTGGTTTTCTCCTCTACCCCTTGTGAGGCCCTAGAGGCCTTGAAACCTGATGACATGCGGGCGGAGTTGGTGCTGCGCAGGGCCCACCTATATGACGCCTGGGCCATTAAATCAGCTATGGCCGCTCCTTTTTCACAAGGTCCTCTATCCGCTGGCTACGTCAGCTCAAGGAACACGTCCCCGCTTCCAATCTCAGAGCACACCAGGACAGCAGTAAGATACCCCCCTTCCCGCCCAGATACCCTAGACCCCCTTCCTTCCGATCCCAGGACCGCTCGGTCCCGGGCGACAGGACCAGACGCGGTGGCAGCTACAAGAGACCCTTTCGGGGATCGGGAGGAAGGCCCTACCGCAGAAGGTGGAGCTTCTTCCTCCCTCCCCATTGGCGGCCGCCTCAGCCACTTCGCTGCCCAATGGGACATATCCACATCCGATGCATGGGTTAGGGACACAATCAGGTTTGGTCTCGCCCTGGAGTTCAGGTCCGCCCCCCCCCCTGATTACTTCATCCCATCCCCCCTCCTCAAGGGATCCCTCCAAACGTGCACCAATGGATGCAGCCATCCATCATCTTCTTGACATCCAGGCCATGCAACCTGTCCCTCCGAATCAGAGAGAAAAGGGCTTTTACTCCCATCTCTTTGGGGTGCCCAAGCACTCTGGGGGTTGGAGAGTCATCCTGGACTTGAAATGGCTCAACCGTCACCTTATCCAGCGTAGGTTCAATATGCACTCCTTGCAATCTATTCTTTTAGGCTCCAGGCGGGGAGACTGGTTATCTTCCATAGATCTTTCGGAGGCATTCCTCCATATTCCAATCAGGGCCCTCCCATTCAAATTCCCCAGGTTCTGTCATAATAGCCTTCACTATCAATACGTGGCCCTACCCTTTGGACTGGCATTGGCCCCCCGGACCTTCACCAAGGTCCCGGCGGCCCTGGCGGCTCATCTCAGGAGCGTTCCCGTCCGCCTCCACTGCTACTTGGACGTTATCCTTATTCTATCCCCGTCCAAATCCCAGGCAGTCAGGGATACCAGGGTCACCCTCTCGCCTTATGGGCACACGGGTTTCTAGTCAATTGGCAAAGAGCCAACTTACCCCTTCCACCCGAATCAACCTCTTGGGTGCCATAATTTATTCCGTTTCTCAAAGAGTTTTCCTCTCTCCGGAGAGGTTCCTTAGCATTCAAGCCCTGGTCAAACAGAGCAGCCGTTCAAGGAGGGTGGCCTTGCTGGACTTCTCTGAATTGTTGGGCAAAATGGTGTCACCCATCTCTATTATTCCCTGGGCCCGTCTACTCAGTAGATCCCTCCAGTGGCTCCTGCTCCCGTTCCAACGATCCGGAAGAAGCAACTCGAAGGCCAGAATCAGGGTCCCTCCAAGGGTCCTCTCGTTTCTTCTCTGGTGGACCAATCCCGCCATCAACAGAGGCCACCTCTTCGCGGTACCTCAATGACTCTCCGTCACTACGGACGCAAGCCTGTCCGGTTGAGGCGCTCATCTCGACTCGCTCTCGGCACAGGGCAAATGGTCGCCGACCGAGCAGAGGTGCAGTATCAATTGGCTAGAGCTTCACGCTGTCCATCTGGCCCTGTGCAGTTTTTCCTCAGATCCGCAAACATCACGTTCTCGTTCTCACGGACAACGTCACGGCCAATGCCCATATCAACAGGCAAGGGGGCACCCAGTCCATCCAGCTAATGAGGGAAGCCGAGCGCCTTTGCCGCTGGACAGAATCCAACCTCCTATCTCTAAAAGCCGAACACATCTCCGGAGTAGACAATACTCAGGCGGACTGGCTGAGCAGGGCCACGGTGGTCCAGGCAGAATGGCGTCTCCATCCATCCCTATTCGAGGAAGCGTCCAGAATATTCGGCCTTCCGGTGGTGGACCCTTTCGCCTCTCCGTCCAACACTCAGCTTCCACGGTTCTTCTCCCGGTATCCGTCTCACCGGTCGGAGAATCACAACGCCATGCGTTGCCCATGGCCCCCAGGGCTCCTATATGCCTCCCCTCCGCTCCCGTTAGTTCCCAGAGTAACACAGAAACTCATTCAGGAGAGGGCAGACCTTCTCCTGGTGGCTCCCTATTGGCCCAGGCGTCCGTGGTTTGCGGACCTCCGCTTTTTATCGGTAACGCCCCCATGGAGGATCCCCCCGGATTGGGTCTCCCTCTCTCAGGGGCCCCTTCTGCATCCGGAGCCTCATGGCTCCAGTTAGCCGTCTGGAGGTTGAGCGGATCCGCCTGACTAGTGAGAAGCCCTCAGTCAAGTCATCGACACTATTTTGGCCGCCAGGCGACCTTCCACTACACGAATTTATGATGCCACTTGGAAGGGGTTCTGCAAGTGGTGTAGCGGGTCTCAGATTGATCCCCTCTCTCTTTCTGTGGCTCAGATCCTAGAATTCTTCAGGAAGGCCTTCGCAAGGGGCTCGCACCTAACACCCTGAGACTACAATTTTCTGCCCTCTCGACCGTGGTCTCCTGTGATAACTACGGTTCCCTTTCTCATCACCCCCGAATTAGATCTTTCCTTAGGGGCGCCACCAACCTGTGCCCTCCCACTGTTCACAGGTTCCCCACATGGGACCTCATCAAGGTCCTCGTTTATCTTACTCGTTCCCCGTTCGAGTCTTTGAGGGATTCATCCCTTCAGTTTCTCACCTTTATGGTAGTTTTTTCTAGTAGCTATTACTTCTGCTCGTCGAGTTTCGGAATTAGCAGCTCTGTCAGTCAGGAGCGATCTATGCGTGTTCCATGCAGACCGAGTGGTCCTTCGTCCCGGCCCCACCTTCCTACCAAAAGTCAACTCTCCCTTCCATAGGTCACAGGATCTGGTTCTACCAAACTTTTGCCCTAGGCCCTCCAGGGGCAGGGGGGTCCTCTGGCACTCCCTAGATGTTAGAAGGGCCTTGCGTATATATATTAAGCGCACTCAATCCATGAGAAAGTCGGAATCCCTCTTCCTATCCTTTCAACCCAGGTCACTGGGGCTTAGGGTTTCTCCTTCAACCATCAGTCGCTGCATCAGGGCCACCATTGCGAGGTACTACTTTTCCCATTCCCTGCCCGCTCCGGGTGGAATAACCGCCCATTCCACCAGAAGTGCAGCCACCTCGGCGGCCTGGGCCACGCAAGCCCCCATCGCTGACATTTGTCGGGCAGCCACCTGGACCTCTCCGTCCCCGTTTATCAGACATTATAAAATAGATACGTACGCCTCAGCGGAGGCCTCTTTTGGCCGACGGGTCTTACAGAGGATCATCAGTGATCCGGAGGGGCCTTCGGGCCAGACGGAGTCCCACCCGTAGGACAGCCCAGCTTTGGTATGTCCCAGTCTCTGGATGCTCCGAGCGGCTCGAGGGAGAATGGGCGTTGGTTCTTACCTGATACGCCCCTTCTCGGCGAGCCGCGAGGAGCATCCAGCCCCACCCTAATTTCTCCGTCTGGTGGGGACTCTTGCTTCAGCCAAGGAGCCAATAGTAGATTAGAAAGAATTAATAACCTCTCTTCTCGTTATCGCAAAAAACTGGGGAGACGCTGCGCGATACCACGTGAGGGGCGGAGCGTTTCCTCATCTAAAGCTCAGCCTGCAAGAAGAGGACTCAGAAGCACATCCCAGTCTCTGGATGCTCCTCGCGGCTCGCCGAGAAGGGGCGTATCAGGTAAGAACCAACGCCCATTTTACCCACCTTGGAGGATGGAAGGCTAAGTTAACCGTGAGCCTGGTGAGATTTGAACTGCCAAATTGCAGGCAGTTTATTCACGATAATACTGACTCACTCTACTACGGGTCTTTTCACGCATCTCAAAAAAACACACACCTCTTAAAAAAACACACACTCAAAACTTCAGCACACTACTTATGTAACAACCTGTAGGTCATTAGATAGGCATTATGTTTCATTACCCTAAGTTTGAAGACTGCATCAAGGAGAGGAAACAAAAATATGAATGTCCAAACTTAAAAGAAAAATAGATGTTGAATTTTGGGGATGGACTGGTAAGACTAGTCTTCCAGTAGATTTTGCAGTTGACCCACTCCACCAAATAATTGTTTTGTCTTATTTCAAAATACAAATTTGTTTAGAATCTAGTTAGTGAAGAGAAGGACCAGGGGAGACAGTGATAGCAGTGTTCCAATATTTGAGGAGCTGCCACAGAGAGGAAGGGGTCAAGCTATTTTCTAAAGCACCTGTAGGCCAGACAAGGAATAATGGATGGAAGCTGAACAAGGAGAAATTTAACCTGGAAATAAGGAGAAACTTTCTGACAGTGAGAACAATCAACCAATGGAACTGCTTGCCCTCGGAAGTTGTGGGAGCGCCATCACTTGAACCCTTCAAGAAGAGATTGGACTGCCATTTGTCAGAAATGGTGTAGGGTCTCCCACTTGGGCGGGGGGTTGGACTAGATTACCTTGTTACAAGGTCCCTTCCAACTTTGATTATCTGTTATATCTGTTATAGAATCTTGTTAAGGTTTCAAGATGCTCTAAGGTGCTTAGTGATCACACTGAGTTCAATCAATAATACCTTTTAAGGTCAATTATCGACCTACTCAGGAGTGAGAAAAGGGTTTTAAAAAACCAAAAGCCATCTTCTCTTAATTTATTTCTCTAGAATGAAACGATAGTATGCCATCTAGTGGATGACAGATTATACAAACATCCATCTCTTGAAATTAAATTTGCTTGACATATTTCTGTGTGTACTTTCGATGCATTGCTATGGTACACTTGGTTTTTTTTAGTAGTTGTCTTCTTTTTTGAAAACTCCGACAACCTAAACCTCATATAAGAGACAATTGATTTCCAAACTCAAATATAGCAACTTCCCTTCTTTGGTCCAGAAAACGAAGTCGACTGCATAGTTTTCATGCTGGCTTTGCTCATTAGACCTATGAACGCCTTACTTACTGGGGTGTCAAATCAATTTCATTGAGGGCTACATCAGGGTTGTGTTTGACCTTGGGAGGCCAGGGTGGGCTTGGCCAGCTTGGTGTCACTCATGTTGAGGGCACCTATGGTGACATGAACCCTCTGCCAGCAAAAACGGGCTCCCAAGTTCCATTTCCAGCTGCGACAGCCTCCTGCAATCCTCTGCCAGCAAAAACAGAGCTTGAGAGGGCACGCTGAGGTCCGAGTTCCATTTTCTCTGGCAGAGACACCGTGGGCTGGTCCTTCGCTGTTTCCAGGGCCAGATCTAAGCATCCCGCAGGCCATTTTGGCACCTCTGCCGTACTGGAATATCTGCCAGAAGTGCATATTGACAATACATCTGGATTCAGAATACAAATTTTCTCTTAGGACAAGCACGTTTGCTTCATAATTTTTTCCCAGTACATACTTATATACTTGCCTTTCAACATTATAAAATAAAAATGGACTTAGAAATATATAGCCTTGCCTTTAGATGAGTAGATTGTGTAGTTTTGGAAGTCAAAAGCAAGGATGAATGAATGTGTAAAGCACATCCCAGTCAAGAATATTCGTAGTTATCATATGTATCTTTGGATTTTGCTAGTCGCTGAGCTTCTTAAATCGTTTCTGCTTTGTTTCTTTTGTTTCAGAAGTCTAAGAAATCTAAAGCAGTAGAGACCATTGTGAAATCGGAAGCCGCTGAAGGTGAGTTGTTTACGTTGGGTTCGGTTATTAATGCAGAAAAAAGATTAAAGGTCTTATAAATCAAAATAAATAAAATGTATATTTTTATTCTGTTGTTTATTGCAAGGATTGTGAGCTCTTTTATTGTATGAAAACTATATATTGAGTGAGTCTGCAGAATCTTCTTATTGAATTAACTGGGTTTTTTGGCTTTTCAGAGTACGTTGAATCATAAATTAATCAGAAGGTTGTTACACATGGTTATGCCAAAGAAGTTTAACCAAGGTTACCACAAAGATTATCAAGTTGCACAAACATTTATGTCTTTAGATTTCCCATTTTTTCCGATTTATTAGTGCTAGGTGTAATGTACTTGGTAAAACATGATAGTTGAACACCAAGTGATGAGATTGGAAAAAAGTAGGTACAAAGTTTATGCCGTTAAAACTTAACACAAATGTCCTCATTCTGAAAAAAAAAAAAAAAAAGTAGGCAAACATTGACAGTCCTCCTACTTTTTCCTCTTTTCTTTCAAAATTCAGTCAGTTGTTGCTTCTCAAGAATAGCCTGATGGAGACTTGTCTTCCTGTGTCAGTCACAAAGTAATATAATTGAAAAAAAGAGTTTCAATAATAGAACTAATCCATGCTGCACCGTTTTACCTTTTTTACCATTATACAGATTCACAGAGTCCATCTCAAGTAAATACTGCAAAAGATATTACGCAAACTGGAGAAAAGAGAAGCATTGCCTTCTGCAAGAGTACAGGTTTGTGTAACATTTTCAAACCTAATTTATAAATCCTCCATTCAGTAGTACTAGGTGAAGCTGTTGCAGCCAAGTGTCCTCTTCACTTCCATAAACTGAAAGATCAGAGTTTACAGAATTAAGTTCCTTTCTTATTGAGAGTACTTTCCCTATTGCTGTTAATCACGGTTAAGTGTTGAGTTTTAAACCTACGGAAACTAACCAGGCTTCCATCTTAAGTAAAAATTGAAAGTGAAATATGCAACTATGCTAAGCAGCTTGCTTGAATTTTGTTCTTGGCAGATCTAATTGACTGCTGTGTTGTCTTTAAGTTAGCAATACCTGAAAGATTCCCTGTTATGCCTCAGAGGACTAAACTTTTGAGATGTAAATATTTATGTGAAAAGTATATTGTATCCACATTTAGATAATTATACAGATGATGATTATTATGTATCTTTATCAAATCTTTTGGATAAAAAGTTATTCTGTTCTTAAAATAATATTTAGATACAAAAGTTAAAAATTAGGGAAACTAATACTTTCAAGCAACCTAAAATTTGGGGTATGACTGTTTAGTAAGGAATATATTGTTTATTTGTATGTACATGCTACTTTATCAATAGAGAACCCATGTTCCTTATTTTCTTTGTCCTCTGTTCTATGGCAGTCAGTGAAAAAGCACCATCTTTCTCTGAAAAAAGCATCAAAGGTGCAACAGAACCTGTGAAGAGGTCCTCTGTAGCCAGTGGGGAGAAATCAGAAGCGTACAAGTCTATTTTTACTTCCCACAGCTCGGCCAAACGCTCTAAGGAAGAGTCTTCCAATTGGATCACACACACCGCGTACTATTTCTGAAATAGAAAATTTTATGATTTCGAGCATGCCCTGCTTTTTGCCACCTGTTGCTTTCTTCTTATAGAAGCTTTTGTTTTAGGAAATAGTGCTCTTTTCAATAACGAAACAGCTTCAAAAACAAACCAACATAGTTTTGAAGAGGAGATCATTAAAAAAGGTAGCTAAACTTGGATTTTAAAGGGCATCTACTTTGAGTAAGTACTCATCATAAAAATGATTGCTTGATGTCCTTTTAGAAGTGAGGAACTGCTTATTTCAACTAGGTTCTGCTTAATCTGAATAATTAGGCTGCATCTGAGTACATAGCCACAGTTGGTATCTTGTAAGCATTTTCTATCAATTTACTTTAGTAGGAATTTTCAAAATTGTGAGTAGAAAGATAGAGGCCAGGATTACATCAACCTATTCGATTTTTGTCTAGATTTGTTACAGATGCCACTTGAGACATTTCCCTATCCTGTTGTCAAAATGTGAGATTAATTTAATAGGTCCTAATCCTGAAGATGATTCATGAACAAAATGTCCAAGAACGTTTGTGGAGTGATGAGCCACCATCACACTTTTGCAGTCTTTATTCTAGCTTGTTCATCTTTCGTGATATAGCTCTTGTTGATCTAAGAGTTCTTATATTGCTGATTGTTTTAAATTATCACCTTAATTCTGCAGTTTCTACAAAAAAAGAGCTAACAGTGTTTTGTAACATTCTGAAACCTTGTATGTTGAAATAAAACTAATTGAATAATTCATCTTGCAGTCTAGTATGTGATTCAGGTTTATGAAACTCAGCACAACTTTTTTTAAGATTTTGGATCAAAAGAATTGCAAACAGTGAACATGTAATTGTGACTTATGAACTCTTTTGGAGGCTAGTATTTGCGAAGTGTAGGACTCATAATTTGTTAGAAGTTGGATGAAAAATAAGAGATAGAATATTCCCTTGTTGAATGCAAAGTTCTTGATAAAAAAATTAAGCAATCTTAAGTAGAGATGAGACATTCTGATGAAGGTATTTTAATGTTACATTCTCCTCTGAATAAAAAGTTTCCTCAGAATTCCCCAAGGCCTTAATGAAAAAGCCCTACTTCCACCAAAGACCAAAGGCTTTGACAAGTGAGAGTTGATACAGTGTTTCATCAATGCTGCAAAAGAGACTATTTTCCTGAGCATTGGAGTCTAGAGGATTGTCCCATCCTCTCCCCTCCGTCCGAGAAATTGGAACACCCAAAGTAATTCAGTGAAAAGTAAACACACACCATTGATCTTTAAGGCCTTGATTAGGACAGACAAGAATGCACAAGTGAATGTATGAACTTTCAAGATTTCTTCTAGAGAACTTCAGAGCTTCTGCATAATGAAGGAAGTGTTGGTTGATTGTTAGACATTGCTAGAGTTGTATTTGTACTATGGGAGGGGGGGTTGTCTTTGTGAATCCAGGTATAGTTGGAGAAGGAATCTGCAGTTGAGAACTCAGTGGTCAAGCAGGATCAGAGAGAGACATCTAATACTTCATTTGGAAAGGGTAGGCCAGAGATCAGAAAGGACAATTTGACAAAGCTGTTGAAATTACTAAATGTCACAAGCATGTTATTTTCCTTTTTTTCAATGTAAGTAGCTAAATGAGTATATCAAAGGACATTCAGGTGAGTCAGAAAGGAGAAAGTCAAAATGCAAAACAACAACCAAACCTGTAAAGAAATCCCTGAATATTAAAAGTAACACAATGCATTTGAAAAGTATTGTAAATATTGTCATACAGAGGAAGAGTGAGAAAGTGCATAAAATTCCAGTCCTTTCTTCCCCACCTCCCAACAACTATTTTTACTGCATTAATATTACAGTAGTACTACATATCCAGCTATGGATTGCTAACATAACCAGGTCATCTTAATCTTGGATTAGCACTGCTCAATTTTTTGTCAGGACCGAAGGGCAGTTGAAACTGAGTTTTTCGAAAACTGATTCTGTTTAATTTGGCAGTACTTCTTTTTTTAAAAAAAAATATTTTATTGAACAAAACAATTAAAAACATTGAGCATAGTGAAGTTGGTTTGACATAACTTTTGGTCAGTATCGCATATACCGGTATATAAATTTTCCTATATACAATTATTCAAATATATACATATATACATTTGTTCGCTCATATATTACATTTCCAACATTATTCGTCCTCTTTTCATCTCATCCAATCATTTATCCTCTCAGCAACTCCTTTCCCAACTTAAGACCTTCCTCTCTGCTCCCACCAGTGATAGAATCTATCCCAAATTGTGTAATATGCCGACTCATCTTTGTTTTTCATTTCTAAAGTTAGCTTGTCCATTTCAGCGCATATCAAGATTTTGTTTATTACTTCTTCACTTGGTATGTCTGTCTCTTTCCAGTTTTGGGCAAATGCTATCCTTTATGCAGTAATAATGTGTATAATCAAATAAAGCTCATCTTTGTGGGGGGGTTTTGACATAATTCCTAATAGAAAGCATTCTGGTAGATGATCTAATTTAAAACCCAACATTTCCTCCAGCCACTTCCCCCTTCTGCACTTTTTGGCAGCACCACCATGCATGGTAATACATTCCCCATTCTATTAAGGATTCCCAACAATTTGAGGTCTGGCTTTTATACATCTTGGCCAATCTGGCTGGTGGAAGATGCCATCGATAAAACATTTTGAGCAAATTTTCCTTATATGCAGTGGCCATGGTAACCTTTTTATTTCTTTCCCATGTTGTTTGCCATTGGTCCAAATTAATACTGTACTTGAAATCTATGGCCGGCAGTACTTCTTCAGTTACTCCTCAATAGTGTTAAGTTTCCAGATGAATTAATTCATCACCTCTTTTTGGCCAAAAAGACAATGCAGGCTGTTTCCATAATGTCTTCCAATACAACATGGCCATGCTAACTGAGGATGATGAGAGCTGAACTATACATTTGAAGAGCACCAATAAAGAGAAAAACAGTACTGCCACCTTGTGTTTGTTTCCACAAAGCTTTTGAAAATTCTTGCAAGACTAATACAAATGGGAATTTTGCTAGTGCTACCACTGCCTAGTGATGATTATTTGTATAGTTAAACATTCGAAGAAGATGTCACAAGTTTTGGGATTCTTAAAAGCATATGCAACTATATGGCATTTAAGATGTTACCTCAGAGGTGCTTTTCCAAAGGTAACTACGCTTTCTTGGGTTTTTTTCCTTGAAAATATTTCATTTTTCACCCAAAAAGTCCTGTTGCCTTTTGAAAAGCACCTTTAAATGACTGAGAATCTTCATAGACATTTGAGATGTCACTAATAATGACATTGCCTTATGCTTTTTGTGTTTCTTTCCCTAATATTAATAAAACTGAGTACAAAATCAGACAACAGTGTTTACTATTTGGGCAACATTCCTACTATACAAGTGCCAGCTTCAGTAACTGCAATATTATTTCCCATTTTATACACATAATTAGTCATATTTTTCACACTCCGTTTGTCATATCATTTGCATAATATTTTTCTTCTTCTAAATTATTAACCCATAAAAAACAATTTTACGTCCTTGAGGATTTTCTCCCAGATCAAAACATTGTGAGGGTTTCTCATTCTCCTCTATGCTATTTATAAATGAGTGTTTGACCTTTTCCTCTTGTTCTTCTCTTTCTTTTTTTTTGTTTTTGATTGTGAAGCACAGAAGCTAATTTCTCATTATAGAAGGCAGAATATGACAGTCCAAATCACAACATAGATATGTTTTGACAACATCACCTTAGCTTTTTCTCCAGAGAGGCGGTTAATCTTAGAGAAATAATGCAAATGACTTATCAGATATAAACCTTTTGGTTCATAGAAATATTCAGATATTGTTGGCGCATAATTCTCAACAGCCTATCTAAATAGTAAGTGCTGGTAGAAATTGCAGCTTAGCCAGAAATTTTCTGTCTCTTAAAAATACTTCATCACCTGTAAGCTTTGTTACAAAGTCATGCTACACATTGCTAAGCAGTGTTAATTTCAAAGTTAGGTTAATCCATAATCAATAAATGTTAAGGCAACTAAGTGGAATGAAGGATGAGTTTTGCTTATAATCTCTTGCCCAAACATGGAAGCAGATGCCCAGAAAAGCTTAAAACATCCATGATAAGAGCTATAAAAAAGTGTTCCGTCATGGTTTTCAAGACTAGGCAGTAAAACCACTCTGTTTTCACCTGGAAAATGCTAGATTCTCTTGACAGAAATATTAGGCTGCTTACAAAAATGCAGCATACATAATGTTACAATGTAAAACCTCAGTAGTTGTTTCTGCCTTCTTTTGTGTATGTGTGCACGCCTTTCAGTCAACATCATTGGTGGACTGCCTAAACCAGGGGTCCCCAACCTGTGGGCTGCAGCCCATTACCGGGCCTTGGCCTATTGGCCACCGGGCCACATGAGTGACTGGCCAGTACCCATGCATTTGTACACATGCACATATGCCCACTCGCTCTAGTTTTGCTGCCAACATTGTGTGGACACTAGCATCGCCCCCAGAGTGGCACACACGCTCGCAACCTAGGTTTGCATCACGAGTGTGCTCGTCCCATTTGTGTCACATGCGCAGCCCCATTCGTGCATGTGCATGCATGCATAATGGCACCTGCCCCTCCCTCCCTCTGGGTCGCCAAGCCAGAAAGGTTGGGGAACTCTGGCCTAAATTAACCCCTGCAGCAGAGGTGGTATTCAGCAGGTTCTGCCCTGTTCTGGAGAACTGGTAGCAGAAATTTTGAGTAGTTCAGAGAAACGGAAAATACCACTTCTGACTGGCCCCGCCCCCATCTATTCTCTGCCTCCTGAGTCCCAGCTGATTGGCTGGGTCTTCTTTTGTTGCCCTGGACAGGAGAACGGAGCTGGAAAGCAGGTTAGTGGAGTGGGGAGGGAATGGGATTTTGCAGTAACCTTCCCCTGCCATGCCCACCAAGCCACACCCACCAAGCCACGCACACAGAACCAGTAGTAAAAAAAAAAAATTGAATCCCACCACTGCCCTGCAGGTTCTCTGTAAGATTTTCCAAAGCACATGGGAGTTGAGTCATGGCAATTGGACTTTTTTTCTTTTGAAATGTTTCACTGCTTATCCAAGTAGTTTCTTCAGTTTTCTTTGTTTTGTTAAGTGGTTTGTCATTGCCTGCTTCCTAGGGGTGAGAGAAAGTGACTGGCCCAAAGTCATCCGCTTTGTGTCTAAGGCAAGACTAGAATTCAGTGCCTTCTGGTTAGGGTCGGCGGGGGGTGGGGGGGGCGATAAAAGGGAAAGAATTGAGATCACAGCTGGCCAACAAGCCAATCTCACTAAATTGATCTATTTGGTATCAAGTGAGTAGATAGTTTTGAGAGGTGCTTTTCAAGAAAAGTGTTGAATAAACTTTTTATGGGCCATTTCCTACGTTTAGTCCAGATAACTATTTAAAAATTAACAGGCATTTAAAAAACTCTTTCAACCTTGATGGGTATATTAGTTTATCAGATTTTATACTGATTTGTTTTTCTCCTGTGCTTAATGTGATGCATAACAAAATTGTAAAAACCAGTGGAAGTCCAATTTTAGAACAACAAAATGAAATCAGGAACAAACTAAAAGTAATCAAGCTTATAGCATGAATCACAAGAAGTCTAAAAATATAACAGAAGTACAAGTGTTTATGC